TTATCTATATCTCTTTCAAAGATATATAGTTGTATCCATGTAATTGTGTCATGAACCTTTGATGAACACGTTCAAACCCGTTAATCGTCCCAACATTGAACATCCCTAAACGTCACCATTCTTCTAAATTACGTATATTTTATGTTTTCTTTTTATTCAAATATTGTTACTTCTTTCGATGTTTCAAATATAGCGGTACTGTTTTGAATGGATAAAGATGTTTTTTATTTGATGATATAAGGCCTAAATTCAATCTGATTTTGCAATTGAGAACGTGCTCAAAAGTTACACTGTAGAACGTTCGGAACGTTTGCGACGTTTGCGATATTGGGGCAAATTCTAACGAACCACACCTCCTTTTATGCAATTGTTCTGTTATAAAAAGGACAATAGCTGATAGATACAGAGGGTAGTTGAAGAGATGGACGGCATATATGAACGTATGTTATTTGTTCTACTGTGCTAGATATGGTAACATACGCTGTACGTGCCGATCAAAACAGCATTTGTAACGATTAATTAAATGAATATTTTGTCAGTCTGTAGTCTCCTTGCTTCAGTGGAATCTCGTTACAGTTACCGATTACATTATACGTAGTGACCTGTAGATTATGATCACATACATATAACACATGTATTGATTACAAGGAATGATTTGAAATAAAATTGCGTAATGAACACCATGGAAGAACATGCCTATACACCCGGTAATTATGATCTAATAACTTTGACATGTGATTGTTTTTGTTGTTGTCCAGAATAATGTTTCCCCTTGCACTTTTTTTGAGTGACAACTCCTTGTCTTTGAGCATATTGCTACATGTAGCATGCAATAATGGCCGACAGATACGAATGTATTGCTATCAACCTTAAACAAAATATGTTTCTTCAGTGTTTCATTGCGTTGCCAGACGACAGTTTGAGCATATTTGCACATCAAACGGGATCTATTTTACAAAGATACTCAGATGTTGTTCTGATTGTGGGAATTTCTATATTTTCCATGCTGTTACCTCTATTAAAAATATTAGATATTTGTTATATTTACGAAACACTGTTGTTTTAATTCATACCATGATTTCCAAATGTATGTGTGTTTCATAGTCAAGCAAGACAATCGGGAGCGGACAACCATGTACAGACTAACAGCACCTCCAGAACACTAGATACACTTGCCTGTGTAGCGGCTGAAAAACAAGTGAGTATCCTTAGAAATGAAAAGCACGTCTTTGTGGATATATAAAAGCGATATCGTACAAATATTATTGGTATGATGCTGACTGCTTTGGACATAATATGTGATAACATAAACGATTTTATTTTATTTGAAAAGGATCAGTTTGCTAAATGTGATATAACCTAGCATTTCTTCACTGTATTGTTTATACTATTTTCCGAAATTCCTCGTCCATATGATGATCAGTGTTAAAGGAGGACACATCTCATTTTTTTGTATTTCGCCACATTGAGAAATCTATTCATCTCTTGGGTATACATATTTGGTGATGTAGTATGAACTATTTTTATAACAGTTTCATAATGCAGACTTGATGTGAAGAGAATGGCTTTATAAATTAAAAGAGAAGGTGAAGAAAATATGTAAATCTGTGTCGTTGCATGGGGTGAATTATTGATGTGCGTTATACCACACTCTAGATAAGGTTTATGTTAAAATATCACTTAGGATAATTATTTACCAAATCTTCTTTACACATTCTGTTATCTTTTCACCTCGTTTACTGATCCTTTGTAACGACATAATACAAACAATATCATTATCACAGAAATAAATGCATATTGTGGACAGGTTATATAGTTACTCTTTTTCGAACCATTTAACTTCCCAGCATAGATGTGAAAAGGTAAAATTTCCATCTTTCGGAGCACAGAACAACCATATTTCTTAATTCCTATAATTTTGAATCACTCATGATGCTTAGTGTGCAGTTATTTTGTATTGTCAACAGCTTTTAGAATCCGAATGATTATTCTACCGACATGTTAACAGTGTTAATATTATTTGGTTAATTGTCAGTTATGCTATCTCACTATATTTGTTTCCCTTTTTAACCCCCTAAATTGCTCATCAAATGTCAAGACACTGACATCACACAACTCAAACTCGTTTGGTGTCCTCACAAAATCTTGTATACTTTGAGTGTGAATTGTCAAAGGTCAGGTCAATCTTACTATAGAATTGTCTAGAACCACTGCTGTTGTTTACGTTCCATCTATAAATGCAATAGCATTGATATACATCAACCTAAATTGCTCCTGTTTTGGTTTTCTAAAGAATATGCTGCCCCCTGCGGTCCCTTGTTATGTCATATTTCATATAGCCATCGGACTTTGTGTATAGCATCTGAAATACTATTTAGCTTTGTCAGCGTAAAAGTATTGTTCTAGCTTGTCAGGATGGATAAATGAAGACAATATTCTTCATTTAAATCGACAGTTAACCGAATAATATTATCGAGATCTGTTATAGTAAATTGATCAATGAGATATAAAATCAGCTTTCGTTTTTTACACGTTTCAAGTGGTCTTAGCATGACGATCACAATACATGTATCACTTGCGCTATGTCATGTTCACGACCACGGAATGCATTCGATGCATGTTTTATTTGTATCATATATGCAAAATTTGAAGAATAAATTAGGAATATGATTTCTATGTCCAGGATACGATTAACTTTAATGCAGAAAAAAGGAGAAGAAAAGAACAGGTTTTAATTGAATAATGTATTTATGTCTATTTTAGTTGGATAGAAATCAACCAGAATTAAATCAATATGACTAAATATTTCAACCAGAATTAAATCAATATGACTAAATATTTTCATTGATTTAATTGAAATAAAGCAATAACGTTTTTATAGGATCTCATATACTCAATGCATTGTGCAACATGTACACCATGTAGAAATACAAACGGGGATATTCATTTCATCACAAACTCTTGTAATTTCCTTAGCGACGCCCCTTCAGCACATTTACCAATATTAGAACTCTTGGACACGTTATACTGGATGTCAGACCGTCCACAGTGAAAGGTCGAACTATAATACGCCCTTCAACAAGTTTCTCTGTAAATGGTCGAAGTTTTGCCAGGTCTAAGAGTGAAGTATGATTCCTTACCAACTTTATACATTAGATATGAGTATATCCACCCTAGATTAGATGTGGTACGGGCAGACCAGCAGTATAAATATAAATCGAAATTCGTACATTTATTAACTGCAAGACAAGATCATATGTCGCACTTCACTTGGGTCATGATTATACCGACAGAAGAAGCTATTTGGATGTCTTACGTTTACTTTAATATACTTTAAAAAAATGTTATCGTACTTTCAAACTAAACTAGCAGGCAATAACCACGGTGTAATGCAATGTTTCAGAGTGAATATCATATATATTGCAAAATTATTATACGAACTGGTTTAACAAATGTTACAAATTAGTAGAAAAATAAAGAAAAGTTTAAATATATGTGTATCTGTATTTTACTAATACTCGCATTGTTTTTCTAAAACGACATGAAATGCTGATAATCTTTAGAAGATAGATGGAGTTAAACGTATAGGATATCTTAATTAATCTTAATCAACATTCGTTAAATTCAAGTGTTTGACATCGATGATCATGTCTTGTAGGGCCTTTATTATTTATTATGTTTTTATTTTAATGATTCCATCAAAACTTAACGAGATGATCCGCACATCAGATGCACATGCACTTTATTCGTGCTACGGAAAGATGGTATGAATTATTGTATCAATTAAATTTTGCATGTGTAGTAATATTAATTATGATACAAAGAGCAATCAATCATTAAACAATGTTCATGTTTGTATGTTATAATTAACTGATGTGACAACATGACATCAACAATAATAAACACTTCAGCATGTGGTCTATATCGGGGAGTGTATGTGTCGGTAACGGCTTGGTCAGCCTGTGTGTAACTGCACCCTGAGACTTACATATTCTTTCTTTTATGCAAGGCCTTGATACTTCAGTCATGGCCGTATATACTCTTTCTGTCTACATCTTAGCATCTTTCATTTCTATAGCGATGACGCTTACATCTATTACATAGATGTGATTTGTTTGGCTTCTGAGCTGTCTACATCTGTAGTTATTCTTTGATTATATTTGTAAATAATGGAAATGCATGGCTTCATATGTGTTAACGTTTCATTGTAATATAACATAGGTGATTACATGAAATGATGCATGTATAGTGCGATGATGTATTATTCGGTTTATGATCAAAGTGATAAAAATATTCCTTTTTTGGAATAATTTTATAACGTTTTGCCAAATAGCCTATCTGCTGTATTTCCTGCATGTTTTAGTAGTGTTATGTAGAATGCTGTGTTGGTCATTGATTACAGGATATTTTTGAAATTTTTATATTTGAAGTGAAACGCTACCATTTACTTTTTCATGTAAATTGTTCAATAGTTTAACTGTAAGATTTCCTTATTGTGAATTTTCAGAAACCGATCGTCACTGCTCGTCTGAAACGTCAAGTTCTAGTTAGAAATTAATTTTATATTTCGATTTACGTTTTTCGCACTGGTGATGGGTTATTTGCAGCAAGTTAAAAGTGTTTTCCTCCCTATGGAAGTATTGGCCTTCTGTTTGCTTTGGTATAAAAGGAAATGGTGATTGGGTCCTTACAATATAATCATTGTGATACAGCATAGTGTGAATTGTGTGTTCTGAGAGTCGTCCATTATTCCATTGCTGCACAGTAGATATCACATGATATTTTAATTGTGGAATTGAGAATAATCGCATTTATTTAGAAGGCATAAAAAAGGCCTTATTTTTCATTTTGTTTAGATTTTCTGGTTAAGCTTACCAAAATCAATGTATTAACATATTTTTTAATAAGTTCTGGAGTGAGTTGTAGCTTTACTTCAAATGATAGGCAAAAGGGGAGATAACAGGTGTAACAGGTAATTGCATTAACATAATACTAATGTATAATTTAATATTGATTGCCCAGTTTTATGTGAAATTGATCATATTTGTAAGTATTCAAAGTAGTAATTTCTTTCTAATAGGTGTTATAAACGTTAGTGTTATTTTCACAATTGCCAGGGTTATATCTGCGAATATCCCATGACACCTGATGTGTCCTTCTCCCCAGACAATATGGACAACAAAAGTGATATAAGCTTAAGCAGACTATCAACAACCTGCCTTGGAGCAGAAATGAAAGTTCGGTTGAACGAAACATTAGAACCGTCCTGCACATTTCATCTGTTCCCGTCGGAATCTGTTTTGGAAGGACCGCCTATTATACTGAAAACTGCCAAACCTATTCTTTGGAACCCTTCGACTTCCTCGCCTGTGCACCGAAAGGACAGTCGGCGAGAAACAATGGTTTCATCTCCGTTCAGAGGTTATGTCAAAGTGATAGATCCAAACGTCGACTACAAGCCAAAGATGAAACTGATTTTAAATAAAGAAGACGCGGGCAAGGTAGATTTTCCCGTTATCAAATCGAAGAACGGTATGCTTGTCGCAGCAGATATAAATCTTAGTGATCAAGCAAAATTTAAGGAAGAGTCAATGCAACAAAAGAGTCACGAAGGTACAGTTCTTCCGGAAAAAAAATCATCAAGCGCCTCTTACGAGAAGACAAGTAAATTGTTCTGTACAAAAAATTTAAGAAGTAGATTTGCTGGATACATCAAAGGAAAGAAAACACGTGCAAGTGCCTTGCGCAAATCTGAAAACGCGGCCAATAACAGAAATGCCTATTCTGCCAGAGTGGTACGGTCAGATCGGAGCGATCTGCCTAATAGCCTTCGTGGGGAGTCTGTTAGTCCTGGATTGAATTACTGGACAGAGGAACCGGAAGAATATACAAACGAGACAAAGCCTGGAAATGCTGTAAGCATTTCCACAATCGAGAGCTCTGAAAGTATGAAGCGGGTTGCTGAGTATATTCTGAGGGAAAACAACAGCGTGGGAATCAACGCAACATCTCAAGAGGTCAACTCCGATTCCCTTACACCTAGAGATGGGGTACACAGTTTGTTCCCAATCCGCAAAATGTCATAATCCATTAAGAAATGCACAGAAATAAATGTATACCTTATTTTATAACCTCACAGCCTCACAATACATTGGGTGATTTTCTCTCATTTCTATATGCGTAATATTCCGATTGTTTACTATGGGCACTCTTACTGTACAGCATTTATGATAAAATGTATAATTTACTGTTTTTGTTTATTTTGGGCCACGTCTTGTCTCATAATAAAAAACCCACATAACATATTTACAGTTAGTATATTTTACCAATCAGCTGGTCTTTGTAAAGCAAGAAATGAGAGAAATTGCATTACACTTTTATCATGAGAACATCGAAGTTACGGACTGCAACGAAATCATCAGTAAGCTCCTGGCTGAGAGTTTCCTTTCTTCAATATTCTCAGTAGTGAAAGGGTATAATTGGCACATAGATATAGACATAGTCCTATCTGCACGAGATTGGTTGACAAGCACGAGTGACTTCGTGAATATCACACAATGGAATGTAATATTGATATGCACAGACAAGGAGTGCGATTTTCCACCTCTTTAGTCATATGGTCACATGTACTTGTCGTATTTTAAAACAAATGTTGCATACCTGCTCTACACTGTAGCGATTGTTACGATTAACGGATCTCCATGTGCACATACTGTTTACTCCATCACGAGTGTTTGCCAATGCATGTTTTAATATGGTTCTATGATAATACAATTAGTTGGAAGATTAAATATTTCATTTAATTTATTTTGCCCTCAGACAAACGTAACATAACGCTCTTTGCAAATTAATTTCTCTCAATTGTTTATTACTTCAAATTAAACCTCTCATAAAAAAAAATGTTTGTTTATAATTTCCATTTTTATCGCAGCTTTGTGGAAAAGTAATATACTAAACATACTGGGTTTTTGTCTACGTTGTAAGCCTAACTGCATGCGAGAACATTTAGCAAACTTTCAGGAACAATTTGAAAGTATTGTGTATGTAAACAGAGCTATACATTTTAGTACAACTTCAAAGTAGATCAGTTTTTGTATTTTAATGAGTCGGTAGTTGCTTTTAATTTGATCCCAATACACTTTATTTTCACATGATATCTAGCTGCTCAACTTTATGAAGATAGTGAGATATATCATCGAATTGATACTTGTATACTTTATGAATGCATTTGAAGCATATGTGGATAAAATTCAACTTATGAGTAATATATAATTGTCTTCTGACTTATATTAGAACTTTTGAATTGTTTCCAATAAGAGATAAGAGTCAACATCCACATACAAATCTTAAATTTCACATTTTTTTTCATTCTCATGTTTGCTGTGTTTAGATGATTTGATTTGTTTTCTTAATATGTTTGTGTGTTTTATTGACAATCATGATGCCTGCTTTTCAGATGTGGTTTGATTCTGCAGGACGAGCTTATGTGAGCCTTGCCGCTCGCTACGATCCTCTCAAGAAATGATCATTTATTGTATTGAATCATCAAGGTATTTTTGCACCCGATCCCACCCTCTGTGTTTCCCGTCGCAGCTTTCTCTAAAGTACCATGTTGTATGATAACACATTCTTCAGTACCATTCCTTTCCAAAAGTGCAACCTGAAACTTATATATCGTTCATTTTTTCATGACATAATCGATTCAAATTATCTCTTGGGGAATTTTTGTAATTTCCATTTCTTGAATTATAATCCTGTAAAATGTTTCAAATTAACGGCTCATGTGGAAAAGTTCATATCATGGGAATCCCAGATCATGTATTTTTATTTTCTTTAAATTTGCTTGAACATGAATGAGGTACAAGAATAATTTTCTGTTTATTAATTGTTCATGTTAACACTTACTCATATCTTATGTCTTACTGATTTTATCAAATGTCACCTGTGTTCATCTGTCAACTACAACCTTTTTCACTTTGTTTTATATATTGTTCGTTGTATACACAATATTGTTTGTCATATTTTGTTCTCGAATAACTCTGCTTTCTCTTATGTTCCTGTTGTCATTATATGTGTATACCTTATATTTCTCTTTCTGTTGTGCTAACACCTGTACAACCCTATTGTAGATCAATGCTGATGTCCCCCTCCCCCTTGCACATCATACTGTTACATGATACATGTACTATTCTATCATCTGCGCAGCGTACAATCACTTGATATACTTATGCATTACTCTGTCTTCTTTCTATTGCGTATTGTCAGGTTATACATGCATTTCTCTCAAATATGCCCCATTCAAACCAGGCTTTTGCTAGTATTTATGAATTGATGTAATACAAACCAGCATACGTTTGATCAGTAGACACAATGATTTTTCAACCGTAATCAAGATTGATTTGGAATGCAATGTTCTCAAATCTACTATTATTGTTATTTGATTGCCACCTTGATATTGTTTTAGTAAACGCAGTTATATGTATGTGCTAGTTACATCGTGAGCGTTTGTAATACCAATGTAGTTCTCTTAATCATTAGTTAATTATTATCAAAATAGATATATACAACTACTTTAAGGTTGGATTTTCTTTAATCTAGATGTCCTTTTTTTCAAATTTATAATAATATGTTTGTGATTGTTTTGATGTGTGCGTTTTGACATGTAGCTGCAATAAATATTAAAATACACAGATTTTCTATATATGATATAACGATTTTCTGTTTTTCTATGTTTCTTATGGATTTCAACTTTTCACTAGAAATTTACTTAGGCTTTTGCATTCGTTTCTGCTTTTTTGTGTGTTTAAAATGCCTATTTAATATAATTAGAGTGGATATAGATTAATATGTTTCATATATAAATTGTTCTAGTGTTCATATTATATTTCATTTCATCTTCACCAGGTCGAGCCTGATTTTCCTCCTGATGCCGCGGGTCTCACCTGGTGTGAGAGACTAGAACTACTACGAGCAGTCAACAAAAAACCAGAAAAAGTAAAACCGAAACCTCCCAGAATACGATTCTTCAAGGATCCTCCCAAAGAAGACCAAGAATGTTCTGCTCCTCTCATCGCCCAATCTACTCGCGCTCATCTTTACGAACAACGGCGAATGAAACATCTACTGGAACAGGCTAAAGTCAAAGGCACAGATCAGTTCGTATGGTTGACAGACAGCGTCAGGTTTCGTGGAGTATCCTCAGACAATTCTAATTCTTCTGACGACGACTCGGATGAAATATGTAGTGGGTCTTCAGGGTCGCGATGCACGTCCACAAAGCCATACGGTCCTGGTATGGACGTGCATAATGCCGAGAATGCTTTGCTGCAGCGGTACAATATGCCGTCAGTGAAGGGAGGCGGATGGAAAATGACCCCATACCCTATTACCATACGTTCTCGAACTACCTTGTTTCAGAACTGAACATGCGTATGTGATATGTGTACAAAATTGTGATTTGCATGTACTAATGTTTATTCGTCTTTACAACACTTTCTAATTGTTACTCGTCTATTAATCCATATTTATAGCATGAATACAAATTTTAATGATTAAAAACAAGGACGTTCAATTCGGTCGTTTTTTATACACGTTTGTTGAATGTTTTAATGGGCTATTGCTCTATCTTATTTGCCAAATATACTTTTCAATTATCTTTACCAAATTAGCTGTTTGTTGTTTGCGCGAAAGTGTCAAAACAGTCCAAATAGCGCTTTCTAAGTTTAGTCTGAGTGTAGTAAGAAATTATTTACAATCATGAGTAAGAATACTTTAATGGTATTTTGTTTTAATTTGTATAAAGCTCATGAAATTCTTGATATCATTAATTCTCACAACAAACTAGGTGCTATTGATTTTCTACTTCACCTGTTGTCAAAAGAGTAAGCGTCTGGAATGCATTGACATGCTACTGTAGACAGTTTTGTTGTGATCTATTCATATTTAATCAATTGCATATTGTCTGCTTCAGTAATAATAATTTTTGTGTATTGATAAAAGGTATCACACACCATTGAAAAATCAAGGCCTGATATCAATATTTGTTTTAAAAATGTAATCTCATTTGACATCCGTGCCAAAATTCCATGCTGTCATTATGATGTCAAGTATAATTTTTGTTGCATAACAAAAACTAAACATAAGTAAATGTCTATAAGACTTCACAATGTTTATGTTAAAATAACCTTTTGTTAATATTTGTATTTTCGTATCATCATAGAGGACAGCGAATATGTTTAAAAACAACTCTGTGCTCCTTGAAGCAATTAATCATGAGTATAATAAATGCAGAAAAAATAACTAAACAAAACAATAGATAGAGAATCCACAAATACAACTACATGAAACACATTTCTCTATTTACTCAAACCCAACGCGTGTATGATGCTACGGAAATTACAGAAAGATTGGAGAAGGCCCATGTCCTTAATTGTCCGTGTCTCGTTACATCTGGTCGACCTCTAGGTTGAGTTATATAATTTAGTCATATAACAGCTAATCAATGCAAGTTTTTTACAGTGTCTACCATGCTATAATTGTAAACTTTTCGTGCGTCAAATGCGCAGTATGAGTAGTGTGTCCTATATGCCTAATACACAATATAAGTTGCCACTGTGTGCATATCCAGTGATCTCCTGTTTTAAGTTTTGGTGATACAAACTGTTGAAAAAAATGTTTGGCGAATGAGCATTTGAACAAAGCTTGAGATTGAAATGAGGTCGAAAAGAGTTAACTGTTTGTAAGAAAACTTAATGGAAACGATGTTATTGAATGTCTTTTTTGATACGCCCGTCGAAGACGGGGACGTATTATGTTATC